ATTATAAATATTTTTAAAATAGGAACTATTCTTTTTTCTTCAATTAGTAATCGTGACTACAGAGTGCAATTTACGTGTTAGTTCTAGAAGATGCAATGTAAAAAAAAATATGTCAACGAATAATATTTTTCTGTGATAGCACGGACATTAATACCCTATATGGAGATAAAAATCTTTAAATATGATTACCAAATCGAAAGAAATATTCGTAAATTAATTAGAATGTTACTCTAAGTACCTACATTCATATGACAAAATCATAAATACTTTTTATGATTAAATCAAAGGCAAACATGGAGCATATGGCGCGAAACGTCACGGTTGCGTTCCTAATTTGATTTGATTACAATTTGAATGTTACGAATAAATTGACAGTAGTTGTCAAAATAAGGTAGGATGACCGTGATGACCCTGCATGTGTTACACTTTTAAAATCACAAAAAGAATATAATTTAATATATATAATAAATTTATAATACCAAAAACATTAACACACACATTTTACGCATCTAACAACAAGAGCCCTTAAAATATGTAATTTAAAAAAATATTATAAGTTTCTTTTCTAGTAGGTACTTACCTATAGGTCACTTGTGTTTTCCCTGTCATATTACTTTAAAAGTTTCTCAACCAAAGAGATTGCGGTAAATGTGCGTTTTTAAATCTAAATATATTTTTCTAGTAAAAGTTTCGTTCTCTCAGCACCCCGACTTGCGTATATCCCATAATGTTAAAAATGGCAACAAAACTCACCAAATTACAATATAAATTATAAACGTCATAGACAAGTCAAAAACAGATTCCAGAATTTTAAATTCGAATGCTGGTGCCGTCCTGTCTGCCACGGCAGACGCTACGGCACCTACCTGACTTCCAATCCCTAACGTATCTCTCTCGCACACGCACAGTCTTATTAAGAACGAGCAAGATAGTATCCCACCGTTCCTTTCATTTGAATGAAACGATGAAAAAATATGGCGCGTACAATTTTGTTTGTTCTAGCCGCCCGAACTGACCCATGTCATTATAAAGTGTTATCTCACATGAATATATTTTTAATGTTGAGGTTTTTCTTTTTTAAATTGTGAGGAATGATATTTTTTTAATATATCGAGTATGAAGTGTAGTATATGTAAGGAAATTAGAATAAAAAAGATTTCTATTAATGCTTTTAAACTTATATATTCTATAACATTATTATGAAGCGATAGACTTTGGTTACTGCATAATAATGGACCGTTTACATGTGAAGTATAAAGGGTTAGAATATCAAGGTGACGTCCATCAGTGGTGAAAGAGAGGCTATGGAGTACGGTGGATCGATTTTTTAGAGCGATAGATTGAAGACGAAACTGCTCTATTAAATAAGAGAAAATCACAAGAATATTATACATTCTAGAATATTTGTCAATTTTCAGTTAATGTTAATAAAATTACGCACATTTTTCTTGTTTATTTTGATCACGTTCTGCTTTTATTAGTTTTAGAAAGTAAATAGTTATATAAATATGATAAATAAAACAATTATTATTAATTTAAGCCTATTTATTGTTAAAATTATTCTATCAATCCCTCTGTTCTCTTAAACGCATCACTTGTAATAATAACGTAAGAAATTAAATGTATGTATACTTCCAAAGACTTATGTGTCAACTTTCCATATACTATAGCATCCAGCGCCCGCGCATGCGAAGTGATCGAACTCGGTTTTATTAAAGGTTTTATTAATGTACCACGATAGTCGGAGGCATTTTTATATGCCTACCTTGCTCCCGAACGAGCCAGCGTGACGTGGGAATCGAGTGCGGTGACTTTTAGATTTTTTTCAAAGGACTGTCGCGTTTTTAAATTTTCGTTTATTTTTATTGTGCTTGTGTATATATAGGAATATCAGAGGTTGTGAATGATACGAGTATCATTATGGATGGTTGTATTTTTCGGGGTATACACTTTTACATTTAAAGTAACTCGTTTAAGATTGTCGTTTCGACTGTCAAGGTTTATCAAATAAACTAAAACTCACCACGTCCTCATAGAAATGTCAAGCAGTGTTTCCTTTGCTTTTCACCGAATAAGTGAGGTTAACAGAAGCCAGTCTCCAAACCTTCACTTATACACGTGGCAACGTACTTGTATCTTTTTAGGTTCAGGTGTCCATGTCCAGGGGGGGGGGGTCGTCTACTCGTCTGTAGATGACCCGAGGTATGTCGGGGCACCAGGGACTTCCTTTCTAGGGTATACCTGGTTCCCCGGCTATTAGTACCCGAGACGGCGTGCAGCCACTATATGGCTGAGGTTTTATTTTAAAAAGACAACTCCCGCATTGGGAATATATATCCTGTGTCGCAGGGGACTTTACAAACATATATGCAACGGACACAAAGAACACGCAGACTCAGAACAACAATTTGTGGATCACACAACGTGGTGTCCCATGTGCGGATCGAACCCACAACACTCAGCATAGTAGGAAACGGTGTGGCGACCACTTAAAACTATATATAATTTGAGGTATTCAAATGATTTATAGTTTTCAGTCTATGAATGTCCGTGTTGTGACGGATTAAGATACGGAGTGTCAATACCCCAATTCATCCCGTGGGTGTCGTAAGAGCCGACTAAGGGCGCAAAACAACGCAAAACACCAGCACTGAAAAAATAAGAAAAACTTGACACAAACCCTATACCAACCCGTCTGGCCAGCTTGGTGTAGTAGGCCAAAAACCTCCTTTCTAAGGAGAGGCCTATGTCCAGCAGTGGACTATTATAGGCTGTTGATGTGATGATGAGTCTATGTATGGGTTACCATTCTTAACACATTGAGACCCTGCCGTGCCTCGGAGAGCACGTTAAGCCGTCTTGGTCCCGGTCACCATACGAACATCTGCGGTAATCGCTAAGATTCCAATAACAGTCTTTCTACATATCTTTGACTAGCTGACCCGCGCAACTTCGTCTGCGTCTCTCAATAGTAATAAATTTTCTCCGTTTTTGAAACATTCTTCATTGGTGCTCCGCTCCTATTGGTCTTAGAGTGATGATATATAGCTTATAGCCTTCCTCGATAAATGGGCTATCTAACACTGAAAGAATTTTTTAAATCGGCCAAGTAGTTCCTGAGATTAGCGCGTTCAAACAAACAAACAAACAATCAAACTCTTCAGCTTTATAATATTAGTATAGATATCGCATACTTGGGTTGTGGAGGTGTGATAGCAGTCGCGCCGCGTAAATAATCGAAGTTCAGCCTTGTCGCAGTAGACTTAAAACCGACCCCAACCTAGTTTGAGGAAAAAGACTCGGAGGAAGATATTGATACTGCAATGCAGGCTTACAAATAGGCGTCACGACTATCATAACAATAGAAATTGTAGCATAAAATCTTAAGAATTATTTCATTATTTCTTCAGGGAAGTTGAAGTTTTGAAGGTCTTTTCATGTAAAATGTAGACCTCAACCGTTCTGAAATCATGAATTGTTTTTAGTTTGTTTTTAGTGCTATCTTTTGTTTCTACTTCTCTGTCAGCTATTAGATACCAATATAGTTTAGCAAAAACAATACATTTATTAATAATCTTTAAAAAAAGTATCACTGATTTTAATGAGCCTTCGTCATGGTTAATTGAAATAAACTGTATACTTCTTTAATTTTCACCCTTGGGAGTGGTATTTGTAATTCAAAATGAATAGGACTAAACGGGCAGTATACCCTTAAAAACAAGAATTTTCAAAATCGATTCATAAAAGTAGTCAGTTAAAAAGATGATAAAACTTCACACGTTAATAAACTTCCTTAAAAATACTTCCTAAACTCGAACGACACTAAACTTGTCCAACCAAGATTAAGATTGCACAACCAAATAACGAAACGCCAAAAGCATACACCTTTATCTTCAAACAGCTTTTATAACAAAGGCATACAAAACGAACAATACCTAATTCCAACTGACAATGACTTGGCAAAATGCCCCCGGTTTATCTAGCTAGACAAAACCGGACATCGGACATTCCCGGACTGTCCCCTAACCTGCTAAGTCGCCGTTAAGCTCTCCGACCACATTTCCCATAAAATAAGATTTAAAACAGGACTCATAAATAATATTTACCTTATTATTCATTGTCGTGTCATTGTGTGGAGCAATTTAATTTAACATGGTTGGTGCGACCGCCTCTTCCATGGTGACACCCCTAGACACGCTGACATTGTAAATCATTAAGTGATTTTATAGTTTTTCTCCTGTTGTATAGAAATAGGATAGTTTAGTTATTTGTAACGTACACTGTAATTAGCGTTACTTATGGGCGTATAGTCAATTTTATTTAGGATTTACGGGTGTATACAACACGAAGAAACTGAAGTGGATGTCGATTTGTATTTTTAATGGGTTGCTGGCATATAAATCATTATAATCATTAACAGCTCTTACTAGTCTACTGCTGCACTATCTAGATATAGGCCTCTCCTTAGAAAGGAGGTATTGGCCTACTATACTATGGTATAGTAGAGTAGACCAATACCTTGAAGGAAAACTTGACACAATCCCTATACTAATTATGGTTAGTACAGGGTTTGTGTCAAGTTTTCCTTCTCTTTACATTGCTGTTGTCTTGCGTAGGTTGCTCCCTAAGTCGGCTCTTACGACACCCACGGGATAAATCTATATATATAAAAGAAAGTCGTGTTAGTTACACTATTTATAACTCAAGAACGGCTTTACCGATCTGGCTGAAAATTGGTGGGGAGGTAGCTTAGAGCCAGGAGACGGACATAGGATATTTTTTTAATTCCGTTCGACAGTTTTTTTTTTGTTTTTTACGAACTTTGCTTTACTCGGAGATGCCACGTTATTATACTTGGAATGCTTCGAATTTTCAAAGACGGAAGCAAGGCGATGCGGTTCCTGGGTATCCGGATGTGCGTTCTACTGATGCTCTTGGTCGTATGTATACAGTTCATCCAAAGAATGATGAATGTTTCTATTTACGGTTGTTGCTGGTAAATGTGGGTTGTGCGTGCGCCAACGTCATTTGAGACACTACGGACTGTTAATGGTGTAATATTCCCAACATATCGTGCTGCATGTGAAGAACTGAACTTATTAGAAAACGATACCCATTGGGATACGACAATCGCTGAAGCCATTATCTCTGCATCTCCAAGTCAGATACGCACATTATTCGCTATCATAATTTCGACATGCTTTCCATCAAACCCATGTAACCTGTGGCACAAATATAAGGATAATATGTCACAAGATATTTTACATCAAATTCGTATCACTTCCAGAAATCACGATGTTGAGATGAATGAGGAGATACATAATCGTGCTTTACTCTTGATCGAAGATATGTGTTACCTCATGTGCGGTACTTTATTAATCAGGTTAGGAATGCCAGCGCCCAATCGTGAAATGAATGACGCATTTAATCGAGAATTGGAACGGGAACGTGAATATGATCACCAGGAATTAGATTTAGTAGTTCAAACGAATGTACCCCTGTTGAATTCCCAACAAAAGGAAGTTTATGATACTTTAATGAAGGCAATCGATGATGGAAATGGTGGTTTATATTTCCTAGATGCCCCTGGTGGACCAGGTAAGATATTCCTCATGTCAGTAGTTAAGGCCACTGTTCGGGCGAGATCCAACATAGCGGTTGCAGTTGCTTCTTCTGGAATAGCAGCCACATTGTTAGAAGGATGCCGTACGGCTCATTCAGCATTAAAATTACCGTTAAATCTTCAAACTATTGAAGAACCAACGTGTAATATTACGAAAAATTCAGCAATGGCCAAAGTTTTATCGGCATCGAAAATCATCATCTGGGACGAATGCACAATGGCGCATAAACGTGCATTAGAAGCACTTAACCGAACATTGAAAGATTTACGGAATGACTCGAGATGTTTTGGAGGAGCAATGATTTTACTGTCTGGCGATTTCCGCCAAACACTGCCAGTAATTCCAAGATCTACGGCTGCCGACGAAATAAACGCTTGCCTCAAATCGTCGAATCTATGGCGCTATGTGAAAAAACTGCAGCTGACAACAAACATGAGAGTTGCATTGCTTAATGATACATCTGCTGAAGATTTCTCTGAGCAATTGCTGACTATCGGTAATGGTCAAGTACCTGTCGATGAATCGAGCGGATTGATATCGTTTCCAAATAATTTCTGTAATTTTGTCTCATCAAAAGACGAACTTATCAACAATGTATTTAAAGATATTATTTCTAACTACAAAAATAATGAATGGTTGAGTGAGCGAGCAATTTTAGCGGCTAAGAATAAAAATGTAGACGACCTGAACTATATAATTCATAATAAGATCATTGAAACAATGCATTCATTCAAATCTATTGACTGCGTCACAAATGAAGATAAAGCCACCAACTATCCAATTGAATTTTTAAACTCCTTGGATGTGCCTGGCTTACCACCGCAAAATTTACGCCTAAAGGTTGGCTCCGTAGTAATCATGCTTCGAAACATAAACCAACCAAAACTGTGCAACGGTATGCGTTTGGTGGTTAAAAAATTGATGAACAATGTAATTTACGCGATGATATTGAAAAGAAAATTCAAAGGTGAGGAAGTTCTCATTCCGAGGATCCCGATGATCCCAACCGATTTGCCGTTTGAATTTAAAAGACTTCAATTTCCGATCCGTCTTGCATTTGCCATGACCATCAACAAATCACAAGGCCAATCCTTAAAAGTTTGTGGTTTGAATCTAGAACATCCATGTTTTTCCCATGGTCAATTATATGTGGCATGTTCACGGGTCGGAAGACCATCTGCGTTGTTTGTTTTTGCGCCTGATGAGAAAACAAAAAATGTCGTGTATCACAAGGTACTTAAGTGAAGAGCAACCTATGTACTGAAATGCAGAAACAATAATAAATGATTAATGTACTTCATTTTTTTTCTAAGAATAAAATAACTTACTAAATTCGAAAATCGGCTTATTTATTGCCTTTAAGGCGGAACAGAGTTCGCCGGGTCAGCTAGTAATATACTAATAATATAATATAATATATTCTACCACATACACACAACGCCATCTAGTCCCAAACTAAGCAGAGCTTGTACTATGGGTACTAGACAACTGATATAAATACATATATACTTTTTTTTTTGTAAATACATACATATTATACATAGAAACACCAGACCAAATCAAACATCAAAATTAAATGTTCATGCACACAAATGTTTGACTTGAGCGGGAATCAAACCCGCGACCTTTGGAATAGCAGTCCGTTACACAAACCACTACGCCATCCAGTCGTCAAAATAGGGGTGTTGATATTATATATTTTTAATCCGTCACCACATAGACAATATAAATTATAGAAGTTTATACACAGATGTTTATGTGATGTTTTACATTGCATTGCAAGTGATGATACGGTGACTGCTTATCTTATGATTTTTGCCGGTAAAAAAGAATCTGCTCGCTAAGGGAATATTATTTTTAAAATGTTACATCTACCTGTCTACCTTCCATCGTGGTAATAAATTTGGAACAGAAGAGAAAGAAGATCTCGAAGCATCACTTCGCTTAAATAAATTAAAAAAAAAATAATAAATAAATAAATTTGGAACACTCTTTTTTCAAAATCTCTTCGCATCTCCTGGGAGACACCGTCGTTGGGAGTCAGGAGGAGGAGGTAAGGAAGAGTATGTAGTGTTTCCTCTAAAAACCAACCCGACTGCAACCACAACGTGGCCCAGCGAAGCGTGGCAGGGTACAGCTAGTGGCTTATAACTATGTTTACTCACACTAGGTATTAAGTACACGCTATTGAAATGCCTAACGTTTCGCCCAGGTTGCATTGACCTTGGTCACAGGCTCACAATCAGCTGGGATTTGTTATATGATTTACTGCGTTTTTGAACGCCTGGTGACGGATTAAGAATACAGAGTGTCACCCACCCCAGTGTGTAACACCCACGTGTAAGAGCCGACTAATGGAGCAAACTACGCAGGACAACAGCACTGCAAAGAGGAGGAAAACTTAAAACAAACCCTATACGAACCCGTTTGGCCAGCATGGTGTAGTAGGCCGAAACCTCATTTTTAAGGAGTGGCCTATGTCCAGCTGTAGACTGCTCAAGGCTGTCGAGGATGATGATGACTGCTTTTTATGATAAAGAGTGTGGGCAAATTAACAGACCTGATGGCAAGTGTCTACCCCCGCTTATGGTCAGCTGCAACTTAAGAGGTACTACGTCCCGAGTGCATTGCGGTCTTTTAAGGCACGCTCTCTTTCCTTGAAGCCGTATCGATCCGGAAATAACGCAGATGACAATTGGTTCCATGCATAAGTTTATAATTGATTCGTTTTTAACGATGAGATTTAAAAACAAAATTCATACAAAACATTCAAAAAACTTGGATTGGAGTGGATTTACTGTATTTCCAACTCCTCCAATTTTCTTCTGATTAATTTCGTTGCGGGTTCCAAGACAGTTTAATTTCTTCCTGGGACTTCCCGAGTGTCATAACTCGGTGTGTTCGTGGGTCACTGCTGTGGATCCTGGTGTACAGGAGTTACAGTGGTGGGCGTGTGGGTGGGATTAGTCAAAAACATTCAAAAAAAAAAGTGATATTCACGAAAATATGTTTTTGGTATAAAACTCATAATTTATATAAACAGACGTTCTGTCTCTTGGCTGAGTGGCCGGTGTAGTTTACAACACCTTCCAATTATAATGAACGAAACCGGGACGTAAATTATAAGCGAATAGCGAGAAAACAGAATAGCTCTAAGCGAATAATACATCAATATATTGATGAGCCTGTTGGTCAAGTGGCTAACAATCCTAGCCAAAAGATGTATGGATGGATGGGTTCGGTTCCCATCCAGGATAAACATCTAGTGATTAGAACGATCATTCGTTCTTTGTTCAGGTGTAATTTATATATGCTTAGATTGTGGAGGGGGTATAATTTATCTATACTTGAATTGTGGAGGTTTTATGGCAGTCGCTCCGCCTAAAAAAAATCAGCGGTATCGTAGAAGACTTAAAGCTAACCCCAACCTAGTTTGGAAAAAAGGTACGTAGGAAGTTTAGAAATATGTAAGTATGTATATCATCAGTATTATTGCCATAGCACAGCTTCGGATTGGGTTCCTGTGTGACACGTGTCAAGTTATTATTATTGTTTAAAAGTTTGAATAAACCATTAACATTAATCCATATGAATATAATAAATCTGAAAAGTAATAATAAAATATCAATCAGAAATAAACTAGAAATTTCTTTTTCTTCTGAAATAGAAAGCTACTGCTTCCCGTCATGAGCGTAACGCCACTTGCATGCGCAGTTGCTAATATTACTATTTACTGTATTCAGTAAATATTACATTTTAGATGTCTATCATTACTACTATTAGATCATAGATGTCTAGTTATTGTTCTAACTCTGAGCTAATGAAAATAAGAAGTAATGTAAACACATATAAACGCTATCGCCTTTAACTTGTAATATCGTTTACAACATGTCGGTGATAACAGATTGACGTTTACGATTCAAGCTAATCAACTATCAGTTGTTTATTATTTTATTGTTTATGATATAGAAAAGTATTTATTTGTGTCTTAAAGTAAAATTAACCTAACATCAAGACACATTGGGATCAAATTAGTTTGATTACATATTTGAATGATATGTCGTTATAAATATACATAGGTATCTATGATGTTTGGGTACTTATTCCAGTGATACTAATTCATCACCATCATGACCTTTCTGCCCTTATCCAATGTCATCTGTAGTCGTCGTAATGTCTAACCTAGAAAGGGCTTTTGGATTATTAATTCTATGGTCATATGAATGTGATCTTCTCTTCTCCAAACAGAAGGAAATTAGGGTAATGAAAACGGATAAGGTGAAGGAGCTCCAGTAAGGGTTACCTCAAGTCTCTGATAGGGTCTAAGACTGTAGTAGCTATGCCGAAGGGTCGTTTAGGTTCATTTTAAAAAGGGTAAACCAATTACAAAAACAAATCAATTAATTAAATTTGCGGTTCATTTGGACTCAGCGTGCCGTTGATCCTTGACTGTCTGCCATATAAACAAAACAGTGGCGGTTTTATTCGTTTCAAGTAAAAAAGAAAAAAAGGTAACTATGAACATATGGATTAATTTTGTATATATTTTTACCATTATGATAAAGTTTTTGCTTATTGTGAAACCCTTTTTTGAAGTTTTTACAGAACACTAATCTCTATAACAATAACTTTCTATTTTTGTGGACGTTTTCGGTTATGGTTAAGCGGAGCTCATTACACTGATATTGACATAAATAGGCAAAGAGAAGGAAAACTTGAAACACACCCTTTTTTTTTAACGTGTGGAAATCCCCTCGGACCGTCACCCCGCCGGGGCTCTCGTTCGGCGGGGCGGTGTGTCGGACTCGAACCGACTAAAACCACACGGTGTGCCCTCTTTGCGCTTCCAGTTTAGGAGGGGTCCAGGTAGTTATCGCCTTCTGGACCCCTCCCAGCGCCGGCCCGCTCCTGGTGCGGGCTCCGTCTCAAAATGTTTACCTCTCTTTAGGCGACGTTCGGCACACGCGGACGCCGCCCCCTCGCGGCTGGCCAACTAATGCGGGTGGAGGGGAGAACCCATCCCATCCACCCGCGGCCACACTCAGAACTTGAAACAAACCCTATACCAACCCGTCTGGCCAGCGTGGTATAATAGGCCAAAACCTCCTTTCTAAGGAGAGGCCTGTGTCCAGCAGTGGACTATTACAGGCTGTTGATGATGATGATAATGACATAATTATGTGACCTGATTGCAATTGGGTAAAGTGCCTTATTATTAAATTAGTACTACCTGGTCAACTTTCAGGATATGGGAAAAGTAGATATCCATATCAATACTTGTATAAAACTAAGTGAGCACAACCTAGTGTAAAAACTTGCTTATAATACTTAATTATTTCACCAGATCTAAATAAATAAAACTATACTGAGATTTAAATTTTAGATTCCTATAAGACTAGAATTACTATGTAAATATTCTAACTAGAATTAGTATATATTTTAATTTAGTAAAAAAAAATGATATGCAGTGCATTAAACCATTCATTTCTACCGCGTAAGCCTTCATCTGAACACCTCACACTTCAGGTGGCCGGTTCATCCAGTAGTGGTAATCTCACAGTTCGTTATTGAGTTCGTGGTTACTTAGCAACTACTTAAAATAAAAGTTAAAGTTAAAACTTAAAGAATAAAACTTAATGTTCCTAGCCCTTAATAGTCCCCTGCTGGACATAGTCCTCTTCTTAGAAAGGAGGTTTGGGCCTACTATACCAGGCTGGCTAGACGAGTTTGTATCAAGTTGTCCTTCTATTTGTAAAGGCTGTTGTCTTGCAGAGTTTGCTCCCTTAGTCGGCTCTTACGACACCCTCGGGATGAATAGGGGTGGTGACGTATTCTTAATTCGACACCACACGGACCTTCGAAAGTTCGGACAAAAAAAGGTATTTTGGTAATAAAATATTTAAGTATTCCTAGATTCAATTTTCGGTTAAATCACTATATAGTCACATTTCATTCAACGTTGGATATTTAA